CTTCTGGCAGACAATCGGTGATTGATGACTGGTATTTTTCTTTTGCAATGTCTTTGATTATTGCTGATGTTACCATATGCAGATATATATTTTTTCATCAGGTTGGTGCCTTATATAAATAAAAAATGCTGCCTTCTGGAAAAACATCTAGAGTGTCACGGGTCTGCCTCCTTGGTACCCAGTGATATTCTTTTTTCATTTCTCTTCACTTTGTAATTCATTAAAAGATGCAGTTCACTGCATATCAGAAGTAAATTCACTTCTTTCATTCACTTCATTCAGGAAGCTAAGACAAGCCCCCAAAGCACCTGCAACCAAATGGATGCAGAAACTCTGAAAGTCTGAAATCATCTAGTTTCTCAGAGAGTTTAGTGACTCTTTTTACCAGGATGAAAACCCAGCTTGTGTTTGCCAAGGAGCAGAGGTCTAAGAGTATCATATTTCCTTCTCCCTCCCCTGAGGACCTTTATCCCCCCAGTGATATGCATGATCTAAACAGGGAAGTCCAGAACCCCGATTCCATGGGTCAGAAAGCAAGTAAAACACAGTAAAATTATTTAATATTCTAATTCATTGTTTTACTTTTTCTTGCTAATTCCTTCAGATCCACATCTGTATTGTCCAGGAGATCTAGCTTAATGTAAATGCTGCTGAGAATAATTCATATCAAATATATTGATTGGAAATATTAGGTATACTTCTTTATGTTGGTATATGGGAAGGTTTGTCAAACTTAAATATTAAGTCACATTAATTAAATTGCTTCATATGCTCTATAAATGAATTGTTTTTTTGTGGATGGTATTTTTTAAAAATATTGTTTAATTTTGTTATTTGTGATTTAATGTACCTGCTTTAGTTTTAAGAAATTCTCTTTGCTTGGAGCCAAAAGTTCTTACTCCTTTCCTTCTTGAACGAGTCTGCAAGAGGAAATAGAAAGGTTAGAGTTACATTCTGCTCTTGTGTCCATAATACAAAGGTAATCTCCTCTATATCCTGTTTTTGTGAAAATAGCTCTAACAAATTTCCAGCCTCTTCCATGTGCAGATAACAACTTACATGTGCAGAAACACACCTCCAGTTTCTCAAGGTGAAAACTGATTGAGATAAAAAATTAAAATTGATAGGTTGCTATCTTTCTTTTCTTCTCTTGCTTCCTGACTGCTATATCTCCCAAAGGGGAGGGGGTTAAACGTCTTTTTTCTTTCTAAATCATTCTACTAGTGTCATATTGATTTTCTCTCAAGTACACCCTGTGGTCTCAGATGATCACATATTTTCTTATGTTACTCATATTGATACAGCACTTTGACTCACAGGTTGACATATATTACTTGAGCTGTGATGACAGTGCTCACTGTTGACATTTCCTGGTGGTGGGGTGTACCAAGCCTCTAAGGCATGAAACAGAAGGGAACAGGCTGTTTTACAACACAGTTTTTATTTTTTGTAAAGCAATTGCCATTCACTCCTAATGATATGCTAAGCCCTCCTCAGTGTTGCTTAACATAGTTTCTAAACCCTAAAACAATGTCTTGAGTTCTTTTGTGTCTCTCATAATACAGAAAAAAAAAAGTTTCTCATCTGGGTATCAAAATATTCCAGTGTTACACTGTAAGAAAAATTGTATTGGGCCAGCCCTGTGGCACACTCGGGAGAGTGTGGCGCTGGGAGCGCAGTGACGCTCCTGCCGCGGGTTCAGATCCTATATAGGAATGGCCAGTGCACTCACTGGCTGAGCGCGGTGCAGGCGACACCACACCAAGGGTTGCGATTCCCTTACCAGTCACGAAAAAGACAAAAAGAAAGAAAAATTGTATTAAAATGGTATTAAATGTCTGAAAGAATGCATGGTGATCCGCCTGTTTGCCACTGCTCTTGCTCTTTCTCTCCTACCTTTGTATTGTCCTCTCATGTCACTTCCCTCTGTTTCAGCTAGCCTTGAGGTGGTTGGAACACAGCTGCCATTACCAGTACATGGATGAGCTCCTGCAGTACATCCGCTTTGGCCTTATGGATGTGGATACTCTCCATACAGTTGCCCTGTCGCACCCCCTCGTCCAAGCAAGTGAGACCGCAACAGCCCTTGTCAACGAGGCCCTGGAATACCATCAGAGCATCTATGCACAGCCCGTCTGGCAGACTCGCAGGACCAAACCGCGGTTTCAGTCCGACACTCTGTATATCATTGGTGGGAAAAAGCGTGAGGTCTGTAAAGTCAAGGAACTTCGGTACTTCAATCCTGTTGATCAGGAGAATGCTCTCATAGCTGCCATTGCCAACTGGAGTGAGCTGGCTCCCATGCCCGTGGGCAGGAGCCACCACTGTGTGGCAGTCATGGGCGACTTCCTGTTTGTAGCAGGAGGGGAAGTTGAGCATGCCAGTGGCCGTTCCTGTGCCGTGAGGACTGCTTGTCGCTATGATCCCCGCAGTAATTCCTGGGCAGAGATAGCATCCATGAAAAACTGCCGGGAGCACTTCGTGCTGGCAGCCGTGGATGAATGCCTCTATGCAGTTGGGGGCAGAAATGAACTGCGCCAGGTTCTGCCTACAGTGGAGCGATATTGCCCCAAGAAGAACAAATGGACTTTTGTGCAGTCCTTTGACCGATCCCTTTCATGTCATGCTGGATATGTGGCTGATGGTCTTCTTTGGATATCAGGTAGAACATGCCTCATATGTTGGATTTATCAAAAACACTTTCCTTGAGGTATACATTTAAAAGTCAAGCTTTGTTAGTGTGGTCATGTGTAATTGAACAATTGAGCAAAGGATGCCATTTTAGCTAATTAACATTCATTTATTGAGCACCTACTCTATAGAGAACAATGTAATTGGAAGTAATTGACCTTTCTGTGACTTTCTGGGTGATTACAGGAGTAAAAATTCAAGATGAAAATTAATGGTCCATCACACCTGTTTTTCTACCAAACCTTCTGTTGTTCACATTGTCAGCTCTTGATTATTCATGGATTATATTGCACAGCTTGTGGTTTATCTAGGTTGCTTTGCTTTTTCTTCCACTCTTGGCTGCCCGACTAGGAGCCATTTCATCAGACAAGGCAGGAGAAGTCAAGCCCAGTAAATCCATTTTGCTGGGTATAGCAATGGATATATATCCAGGTAATAGTTATGCTGTGCATTGAGGGAAGGGATTTAAGTTACTAAAATAAGGTTTTTGTATTATATGTGATAGTACTTACTCATGCTATCCTAAACCTTCATTTCTATTTACTCTCCTGTTCTTACTGATTACTGGTGGGTACACAGTTTGAGCTTTATTTTAGTTTACCTTTTTTTTTTTCTTTCCAAAAAACGTTTTGATTATGGAGAAAGTAGAGAGAATAGTATAATGAACCCCATGTACTGAGAACCCCACTTCGGCAGTTATCCACTCATTGCCACTCTTATTTCATCCACACCCACATATGCCTTCCAGCCCCTCATAGCTGCCTTTTTGCTTGTACAGAAGGAGTCTGTGTGGCATATGTTATCTGCATCACACTATCAACCTATGTTTTCAATCCTATTATTGAGAAAGACCTCAAGTGTTCTCCTTTGAAAGGTGTGCCTCTAACAGGAGGAAGTCGCATCTTCTCCCAGTTGGAGGATACCCGTTTTGTAACCCAAATGGAACTTGTTGGATTCTTGTGTCATCAAAGACAAAGAGGAATAGAAAGATCAAATAACTTAAATATTAAGAGTAACTTTGATGTTTGTACTTAGAATAATCACTTTTAAGTACACCGGCAAAGGCTTTTCAGCTTTTGTCAATAATCATCTCTAGTTTTTTACTACCTACTTGGACAAAATTCTCCCTTGCATTTAAACTAAATTTGTTTGGATTCTGCCTATTTTTCCTTCTGCTGTTCTTCAATAACAAGGGAAATAGTCACAGTCTCAGTTTCTGTGGATGATGCCTCAATTATTGGAAATTCACTGATTTTTCACTGACAAAACCTAGCTCGTGTCAGGGTTTAAGTGCTCAATAAATTAACGAATAAAATTAAGACTAGGACTAAGGAGGAGGATAAATGAAGTGGACCCAATAGTTACTGGTCATACATACCAAATAAACATTAGAAATGTGTGTGTGTGTTAGTATATGTAGATATATTTAAATAAAAACCTCATTTATCTAATTTATCTAGTGACTTATTCCTTTTTCTTTAAATGTATACTTCAGCAGTTAAGAAAATAACTACCAGGGCTCTGCCCTGTTAGCTTTGCTGAAGAACTTCAAACTAGGCTGCAAATAAGTCTTTGCTAAAAGAAGAAACAGATCTGTCTGTACTTGAACAACGAAAAGATGGGATTACAAAATCAATGCAATTTATGTTTTCTCTCAATATACATTACTTCCATTGACTCATTTAGTTAATGTACTGTATTCCTAAATTTTGCATTGCATTTTCCAAATTTCGTATGAATTTCCCATAAATATTCTAATAAATATTCCTTCTTTTTTGGTTATAAAACCTAGCTTAAAAAAAAAATGCTGTAGTTTCCATTACATAGTCTTAAGGATATGATCTGCTTAATACCTTCTTCAGTGGGGCTTAAGAAAGCACAGAAGTTCATCTTAGTTCCATCATCCTGGTGTCAAGCTCACTTCCCTTTCAATGTGGGTCTACGTTTCCATTTCCATTTTATTAAATCTATCAACTTATTACAGATCTTATTGCTATCTCACTTTGTTTTTCTCCTACTGTGAAAGGAAATGCTTTTTCTTTGTTCTTTTTTTGCACTAATGTATGCTGCTTGTGTTAACCATATTTAATGAAAACAATCACAATTTTCTCAGGTTTGTTTCTCCCTACTGTGTACTCAAGATGAGAAATTCACTTTCCTGTGTACAGTACAATACCTTTAATTGGAAAGAAGAGGAAATCGCCAGTGACATTTCTAATACCTTCAGTCGTCTGCCTCTTTCCTCGGGCCCAGCTTATAATAAATCAATTGTGAATCTAACCACGAATAGGGAGGGGTGACTAGATTTGCTAATGGGCCCCTTAAAAAAAAAGACAGGTGTATTTCACCCTGCCTATGATTGATTTAGAAGTGTTAACCTGATTTATTGGAACAGATGAAAATGTTGGAAGCTATTCTTTATCCTTTACCAAATAATCAAGTATTTCCAATTTAATTGATGAGAGATTGAGTCATCTCCATCCTTCTGATATTTTGCAAGCTTTGCCAGAGGTGGAGGTGGTATGGATTATAGAATGTGGATTTTAGGGGCTTAGTTCTGTTCCAGAGAACACAAAATGAATAGAGACTCTTCTTTAGAGACTCAACATTTCGAGAGTGCTCTCTCCCTCCCCCTTTTTCTGGTCATTTTGGGGTCAGGACATCTTGAAACCTGTCCATAGTTTTAAAGATGTGACAAGCAAAGAGGAATTCAGAAAATTGGGCTGCATGGATATCCCCATTTGCATTTAATTTAAGATGTTAGAGATAGTCAAATTTTACAGGCTCCTGTAGCATTTCACATTGTGACCCAATTCACAAATGTCCCTTTCCATTTCAATTTGAAATTCATAGTATTGAAGTAAAACAAGCATTAAATATCCTTTGCAGCTGTGTTTTAAAATATATGCTCTGTTGTAAGGTGTAGTTTGTGAACTACTAAAAAGATCCTTGGTTTCGTTTGTTTGTTTGTTTGTTTGTGAGGGAAAATTAATCCTGAGCTTATCTTTCAAAACAACTTATCTTTTCATTTTTATCAAATGGCAGCAAGATGAGAAACTAACCACAAAATTAGTACTTTAAAACTATAAAAATAAGAAAAATGTTATTGCATTTAGTCAAAAGCAATATTTAGTGCTTGCTTGATTCTCTTGTTGAATACTACATCCTTATAAAGTGTAGTGCTGGGACATAGATAAATAAGATTAATTCAGCAAACACAATTCCTGCCCTCTAGGAGCTGACAATCAAAGGGTATTTCAGATATTTCATTAATGAAAGAACATTTGTTAAAGCTTCTTCAACTCCCTAGAAGCTATGTGTATTTTCGTCTTGATTAAATTTATATAAAGTTTGCATTGCCCCATTTTAAGTAATTTCAATTTATTCAAACCTAATAAAGGGACTTTGGTTTTTCTAATCATTAAAATTAGAACAATGTAAAATTTCATTAACATTTTAAAAATACCATTGCTTTACTTTACTATATCTGTGCAGATATCATTTTACTTGCATCTAAACAATTATATACAAAATATTGGGAGCTAACATCAGGCGTAGCAGAGACCAGGTTGTAGTGGGCTGAGATCATAGACCCTGGTCACACATACACACGTGAGACTTCCTCCACTTCTTACCAATCATGAGATCTGAGCAAAGTTTTTAACCTCTCTAAATCCTGTTCTGGAATAGTGCTGGAGCAACAAAGTAGAGTATAATAGAGGGAACGAACTTTTAAACAGATAATTATAATATAGAAGGTGATGGGCAATGATAGAAGTCTTTCCAGAGTACAGAAGTAGTGCAAAGCAGGGAGTAATTATTGCAGGTGGTATGAAAGGTAGCACCTCCAGCCTAACTGGGCCATTGGCCATTTTCTACTTATCCATTGACTCCTCCCTGTCCTCACGTTTGAACTTTATGGTCGAATCATTTCAATAATTCTTTTGCTCTCTAGCAAAACATGCAGTGTTGGACAAGTGCAGCAAACCACTTTGTCTTTGCCTGTACCTGGGCAGCTGAGCCTGTGGGCTTGGGGTGGGTATATACCCAGCTCACCAAGCACAGTGGCACTCTCAGCCTCTCCATACCCTATTCCCACTCTCTCACCCCTCTCCTCCACTGGCTCTAACTTCCTCACTTTCTTCATGATCCCCTCCCCTCAGACTCAGAGAGAGGACCTTGTCTTCTGTTTCTCAGAGCAAATGTAAATGAGATAATATGAAGAGGAGGAAGAAAGTGGGAGGAGACAGATGGGCAAGAGATTGTCTGGAAAAAGGCCAAGGGCAAAAGGTTGGGAAACACTAGTAAGGAGGGTACAGTGTGTGTGTGTGGGGGGGGGGCAGGACTAAGGAAGGAGGCTGAGAGTGCAGGATGAGCAAGGTCAGAGAAGGAGGAGGAGGAGGTCAAAGGAGAGGAGGAGGAGGAGGGGTAAAACCAAAACCCAAACAGAAAGGTGCGGTGAGTGAGAGCTGTCCAATACTACAGGGACATCAAGGTCCAAACTATTGCCACTGCATTTTTCAATGCAGTGGAAGAAGGTGAAAACTAGAATACTGTAGTTTAAGGTTTGATTGGAAAGTGAAGTAGAGGGCCGGCCCGGTGGGAGTGTGGCGGCACTCCCGCCGAAGGTTCGGATCCCACATACAGACCGGTTCCCGCTCACTGGCTGAGCGAGGTGTGGGAGCAACACCGAGGGTTGCGATCCTGTTGCCGGTCCCGGTTCGGTACGGGCGCGACACTGAGGGTTGCGATCCGTTGCCGGACACGAAAAAAGACAAAAAGGAAAAAAAAAAAAGAAAGTAAAGTAGAAACCACAGGTGTAGAATACATTGGGATAAAGGCCCTCTTTGCCTGTTACCCATGAACAGGGTCTCATCTTAGCTTCATTCCCTCAATCTGAGCTTATCAGACAATTTTCCAATTATCATGTGGCTTCCTGTATACTCCTATGTACAGGAAGAGAATGTGCCG